CCCTAAAGAGTTCAGTCCTTCAGGGTCTAATATTTTCCACCTTATAGATGCTCACGCCTACGTTGTTGCCACCTCTTCCTCTGTCCCACCAGAAGTGTTAATGATGAATTGCATAAAGATCCAGTATAAAGAAAAGAGCCACATAAATGATGGGAAAAAAAAAGGGGGAACCTACTCCTTTCATCTTTAAGACTAGCTTATGCCATTTTAAAGTCCTATGAAACATTTGTTTACATATCTACAGAGAACATGTAATTCATATAGCCTACTTATGGTGTGAGGTGGTTTCTTTTTCCTCACAAGATCAGTACCATCAGGTTCATACATAAAGCAGATGGGATTTCCTTTCAGTCTGGGCAATTAATGTTACAAAATATAGCCTACATTACCCTTTTTACATTAAATAAATATGTTCCATATTGAAATTTTGTACACATTAAAGAAAGTCTGATTTACATACCTATATATCTTATCCTGAAACCCTTTTTATTGGTGCCATGGTCTGCTGACCACCGCAGAAATACTTCATGGCCATTGCTGGTTATATTTAGAGAGGATGAGTAGTCCCCACTGAGAGAAATGAGCAATGGGCTATGACTATTTGGTCCTTGACATAAGGAAGGGGGGGGGGAAAGAAAAAAAAAAAAAAAAAGGAGTTACAAAGTTTAAAAAAAAGTACAATTAATTATATGCATGTATTTCATATACACAGAAAACATCTTCCAAGCAAATGGTAATCTGAATGAAAAATGGAAGTTGACTTTACATGCTATACTCTAGAAAGCACATATTTTTTCAGAAAAAAAATACTTCTAAACATAATTCAATTCCATTTTGAAACATATTACTCCAACAGTTCTCTTTAGCACAATAAATGCAAATACTTGCCTCTAAGATTTTTGTATATTGACAATTTATAGAATGCATAAACAATAGCGATTACACATACTCAATGAAAAAACACATATACAGAGAAAAAGTATTATCAAAAATTGTGCATCCTATAATTACCATCAAACACCTCAAGTATATCAAATTCCTTTTCTGTCTGGAAGAATTCGAAGAACATGCTGATATTATAACCCTTTTCCACAGTAATGGTCCAGGCACACATCTGGAGATTTGGATAGCTGTCAGGATATCCAGGGCTCAGTATTACTCCGGTTGAATCCAGACGCATCTCATTGGCTGGACACAGCACTGTGAAACACAAAGATTAGTCAAAACATCTGAAGCCCACTATTTCTGTTGCATATGATAGGCAAGATTTTCCTGAGTTTAAAACATCTATATTACTCATTTTATTTCCAGAAATACATAAAGACTGACCATATTTTGAACAAAGTCAGTCAGTAGTAAAAGAATCTAAAGTAATGTTCATCTTGAAAATAAGCCCTGCAACCCTCAGAAGATGTGAACTCATAGAATCATAGAATGGTTTGGGTTGGAAGGGACCTTAAAGATCATCTTGTTCCAATCTCTCTGCCAGGGGCAGGGACCCCTTCCACTAGACCAGGTTGCTCAAAGCCTCATCCAGCCTGGCCTTGAAGACAGGCTTGATGTCCAGGGATGGGTGATCCACAACTTCTCTGGGCAACCTGTTCCAATTAATGATATTTTTCTTCTTTCATTCTCTAGAACCTAAGATATATTTGTAGGCTGTTCTTAAATGCTATATAGTTTTGTTTTTCCAAAAGTGAATCATAGAATTTTTTTTTTTTTCCTCAGATTACTGCTACTTTTAGCAATAATTCCAGGTAAAGTCTTGCACTGAAAGTAAAACTTGAAGAAACTGTGACTTTTGCTTGTCAGGTTCTACATAAAGAGTAATCAGTTCCTCCCAGAATCTGTATAAAGCAGCACCTAAATTTTGAGACCCTCAATCAAGAGACAAGAATGTTTACGTAATTAGACACAATGTAAGCACTATTCAGTGATGCCTTTGGTCTAGAACATAAAAGACACGCTTCAGGCTGACATTCGGTTGCTCAGTAGGCCTAATTACACAAGAAGGTGACTTGTGCTAATTCATCTACCTAGTGTTCTGATACACAGAAACCCCAGAAAGTGCAAGGTTACTGAATTTACATGCAATAAAAACCACTTGAAGTTCCATTTTTCCTTCACCACACCTAATACCATCCCATTTCTTTCCTATCTAAAGAAGCAGCAAGAACAGTTCTTAAAATCAATCAGTTAAGATGTTGGTGCTATAATCCTGAATGAGCTAAAGAATCTCACGCAGATTTTGGGCAATTCATCTAGTTACTTTTAATCTTAAAAAGAGATAAAACAGTTAAGCATATGACAAACACTTTCTTAGGAAATAAAGACCAAATTAGGAGGAAAAAAGGTGATTTCTGCCCTACTTCAAAGTAAAAATCCAAATATCACCATGAGATTATATATATTTAACTCCATATTCCTTACCATTCTTAAGTTCTTATGTAAGCATAACAGTCATGTAACTGTGTCAAATATGTTATGAACATATTGAATAACATGAGAAAAGTCATGGCTATAATCTGGCTGCCAAACGACAGTGCTCAGCCAGTTGTGGTGCAAACTTTGCTTCAAGCAAATGAAAGAATTGATCCTGTACATGCTTTATACACACATATAAACACCCACAGAGAGGTGTGTCAGGCAGGATGGAAGAGCACCATAGTAATTTGGCTGCAATATTTACATCTAGTTTTGTTGTCTCCATATGATTCTGCTTTGTAAAATGTCCTCAATTTCAGAATCTCCAGGTAACTATCCCTCAGGAATTTTATAGAAAGCTTAAAGACCTATTTCTGTTCAATGGATTCACTTGGGAATCAGGTAGCTAAGTTTTTTATGAAACTGAGCTAATGTAGCTGATATATTTCTAAGAGCCATCATTCAAGAATTTTCTCAGGGTCCTTTGATTATGATGCAAAATACAGTTTGACTCTTCTTACTCTGAAGTTGTTATTTTATCCTGAAAGTAAAAGCTAGTTTCAAGAAATATTAGGGCAAAGTTACATGCTGCACATGGGAAATACTCTATTTGAACATAAGAAGATGATAGGCATTGGTATAAGCTTGTGGAATTTAGTTATTTTCTGATCTAAAGAAGGAAAACTTCAAGTATCTTTAAAAATATTGATCCATCATCAAAACGAAAATATTGTTATTTAAATTCTATTGAGCAGCACTCCAGATTCAATAAATAAATGAATGTTGAATGTGGGTATTCAATTATTTCAAGTTAAAAACTGAAGCAAAATTCAAACAAAACTCACTTAACACTGGCTAAAGCGTCTAACATATGTATAAGGTTAAGGCAACATAATTTAACACTATAAAATTTAAAAATAAACATATATTCTACCTGGTGAAAGAACTAGTAAATTAATAGATCAGCAGAAGAGCTGAGTTTTACCCTTAAGAGTGACGCATGTAATGTGTTATAACCATCACAAAGTATGGTAGATTACATGTAAAACAGTGCAGTATACTATCATGGTTCACCCGTCAGCAACTAAGCATCACACAGCTGCTGACTCACCTCATCCCTCCTCCTATGGGATGAGGGAAAGAATTGGAGGAAAAGGTAATTAAATTCATGGCTTGGGAGAAGAACAGTTTACTAATTGAAAATAAATTCAATAAAAGAATGATACTTATAATATCAGTACTACTACTATTATTAATGATAATAGGTAATTAAAATAATCATAGAATCATTTGGGTTGGAAGGGACAGATCATGGAGTTCCACCCCCCCGGCCATGGGCAGGGACACCTTCCACTAGA